TATGCCTGAGATGGGTCGCCTGAATGATGCTGAATAGGGTGCATGTGACCAAGTTGTTCGTATTCGCGCATAAAAGCCACATATCTTTGCCTCAGCTCTGAGTTGGATGCCAATTTTCGTTCCAACTGGTGAAATTGCCTGAGTGCCATCTGATGTGAATTGCCAAGTGGTGGAGCATCAGGTGTAAATGGTATTTGTACACAATAACTGCCATCATCAAAACGCTTATGTGTGCTCATGAAAATGCACTCGCAAAGATCAACTGCTGCTAGTGTATCGCCTTTAGCCATGTCAATTTCTTTGGATTCAAATAGCTTGTGTAGAAGGTCATCAACTCGCTCATCAGGCGCCTCCACACGCAATGCCATAGATTGTTCCGCCTTGTAATTATGCACGGTTGCTTCGGCTGGTCCGAATACAACCCAGCCTAATTGCGTATTTTGTGCCACAGGATCATCAAGTTCGCCACGAACTATGCCATCTGCCAACAATTGGCCCCATACGTCTGAGCCAAGCAATGCATCTATAACACCAGTTTCGCCAAATTTCGGGTCTGCCAAAGGCAAATTGCGTAAATGCTGCCAACAGTTTTCCATGATTGGAGCCACAGGGATTGCTGAGGTAATTTTGTTGATGATGTAGAATTCAACATCCAAGCCAAATAAAGCATTGACAGTCGAAAATATGCGCAAGACTGCCCGGCCATTAGTATATGAACGATTGCCACTGCCAACGCCTTGTAATTGCAATGCACTTTTCTGCTTCCGCAGAGCCAGTTGATTAAAATATCGCGTACTCATTAGACTTACCTGAGAGCCTGGATCGCATAGAGCTCGACACGAGTCGATATCGCCAAAGCCATTTAAGATGCGTATTTGTGCTGTTGCCAAGAGTATAACCCGATTGCCTATAGTAGCGAATGTCTGCATTGAATGGTGTAGTCACTGATGCACACGTGGTGGGATGCCAGCCTGGTTCGGTTTCGCTGGTGCCTGAGGTGTAGTTTGTGCCTGCTGTTTGGACTCTTGCAAAGGAGGAGTTTGCGCTGGTGAACTTCGGCATAGTAGAGTGTGATGCCTGCCATTGCATAAGCGACAATTAGTTGAGCCACATGCCTTAGTAGAATGTCCAGGTTTCAAGCAATTGAAGCAAAGATTCGAGCCTTTAAGCAATGTGAAGCGCTCCGCTGGTGAGCAAGCCAATAGCCTGGTGCAGTTGCCTATTTGGTGCGATGCGTCATTGCAAAACTGGCAGTGGCCTGAAGTAGTTGCTATTAGGTTTGTCCTCATTAGACGTGAGCCTGGCCTTTTATGATCAGCCTGAGATGTGCCACGATATTGTAGTGTAGCGGTCTTGCCATCAGATTTTGGTTTGCTCTCCATTGCTTGCCAAACAGTGCCAACTAGACTGTGAGCTCGTGTCTCTAAAAATGCAAGCAAATCATGCGCAGTTTGTAGTTTTTCGAAGTGTGCCTGCAATGTTGCACGATCTTGCTGCATGCCAACGTTGTCATCTGCCAGTATTTTTGCAGCTACCAGCTTTAATGATGACCACGCAGCCGTACGCCTATTTAGGGCAGCCATATTTTCTTCGTATAAAAACGCCAAAAAGCCAAAAACGCAATTTAATTTTTAAATAAAAACCGAAACTCCCGGGTTTCGGCACCAACAAATATATGAAAAACAAACACGATTATTTTACACACACGCAAAATGTTTATTTATTTATTCAATTTAGGAAAAAATTAGACTAGAATAATTTATATCTCGCCAAGCCAAATAAACGTGCACACTCCCTGCCAGTCAAGTAAAGAAGAAGGAGAAAGAAAAAGTAAAAAAGGTGATGAAGAAAAGGACCGAATTTGCCGAATGATTGATGAATATAGACCGAAGAAGATCAATAAATCATCTGTCGAAATGAAATTAGTTTTAGTTGACGAAAAGCCGATTTACGAAGGACCGAGAAGAATGCCTTACGCTGACCAAGAAATTGTTGAGAGCCAAATTCAAGATTGGTTAAGTGAGGGTATTATTCGAGAGAGCAATTCCGACTTTGCATCACTAGTGGTATTTGTTTCCAAGAAGGGTGGAACTAAACGGCTCTGTTGTGATTATAGAAAATTGAATAAGAAAATAATAAGAGACAATTTTCCTATGGCAATTATAGACCATGTGTTGGCCAAGTTACAAAAAGCGAAAAGGTACACAACGTTAGATTTACAGAATGGATTCTTCCATGTGGCTGTCACTGAAGATTCTCAAAAATATACAGCATTCGTGACTCCGAGTGGTCAATATGAGTTTCTCTTTGTACCATTTGGTATTTCCAACTCTCCCGCCGTGTTCTGTAGGTTCATACAATCGATGTTTCGAAAATTGATGCAGGATGGTACAATTGTTGTGTACATGGACGACATTATTATCCCTTCGAATACAATTCAGGAAGAAATGGAAAAGTTGGAGGAAGTCTTAAGATTAGCTGAGTCGTATGGGCTGCGAATAAAGTGGGAGAAAGGCCAATTTTTGAAGACAAAAGTAACGTTCTTGGGGTACGTTCTGGAAATTGGTACGGTCAGAGGAGAAGTTTAAAGCAGTCAAAAAGTTTCCGTTACTATTCTATAAAAAATCGCTACAAAGATTTTTGGGACTAGCTTTGTACTTCCGGCGTTTTGTACATGATTTTGCAAGAGTGGCAAAACCGTTGTCGGACTGCTTGCGGAAAGATTGTTCATTCCGCATTGCGGACGAAATAGTTGTGGCAGTCCAACAGCTGAAGTGCTTGTTGATAGGTGCTCCGGTGTTGACATTGTTCAACGCAGAAGCATACACCTAAATACATGCTGATGCTAGCATGTTTAGTTATGGTGCTGCTCTCATGCAGCGAAATTCTGAGGATCAACAAATGCACCCAGTTGAATATATGAGTAGGAAAACTACAAAACCAGAACAGAAGTATCATTTCTATGAATTGGAAGTGTTGGCTGTCGAATCAGCATTGAAAAAGTGGCGCGTTTATATTTTGGGTCACAGAGTTTAAATAATGACTGATTGTAAAGCTTTTTCCATGACAATGAATAAAAACGATGTACCACCAAGGGTGGCAAGATGGGCGATGTTCCTTCAAGAATTCGATTATAAAGTTGAACACCGAGCTGGAACAAAGATGAAGCACGTTGATGCGTTAAATAGAGTCTATTGTTTGATGGTAGAAAGTTCACTAACGAATCATGTTAGGGAGGCACAAATTCAAGATGGTTGGGCAAAAGCCGTAAGACATGCCTTGAAAGCAGGTACGTATGAAGATTTTTATATTCATGCTGATATCTTGTATAAAGATCAAGTAAAAGAGCTTTTAATGATACCTGCAGATATGAAAACAGAAATTATAAAAATGGCACACAAACAGGGACATTTCGCATCTAAAAAAACTTTAGAAATTTTACAAAGGCAATATTATATTCCAAACGCATCCACGAAAGTTGAAAAAGTCGTTAAATCATGTGTAAAGTGTTTGGTAGCTAACGCAAAAGAGGAGATAGACCTCTTGTTACCTCTTGTTAAGAGCACATAGGGCCAATGACGGCCCTATGTGTGAATAATAGTGAAAATTGGTATAAATTCGTTGGGCGCGTCCAACAATTTATTAATAGCATTTCGCCACAAAGCACTAAGCATGCACCGTTTAAAGTATTGACAGGATTTGATATACGTATCCAAGATAGTTTGGGTTTAAGAGAGTTGTTAGATGAAGAGTATCTATTACAGTTAGATCGTCAGCGGGATGAAATACGAGATGAAGCGAAAGCAAACATATCAAGTTTACATAAAGAGAATAATAAGGGGTCGATAAAGAAAGAGTTAGAGAACAGGAATATAAGGAAGGGGAGTTGGTTGCCATTAAGCGAACTGAACTGGGTACAGGTATAAAACTAAGACCGAAATTTCTGGGACCGTACAGGATCGTGGAAAAGTTGGGGAAGGGTCGTTATAAAATAGAGAAAGTGGATGAAAACGAGGGTCCGATTAATACCTATAGCGTAGCAGAGAATATGCAGAAGTGGGGTCATTCGGGGCGAACGACATGTCAGAAATAGCCGAGTTGTGAGGTTGGCAACTCTGCTTTGGAATTAAGATGACACAAGAAGTGCAGCGAATAAAGTTCAGTTGAAGTTGAGTTGTTATGCGCGGCGGTCGTTGGGAAATGCAGTGTGCATGTGCGTCGTAGAAATTGTTGAAGTAGACAATAAGTTAAGTTAAAACATTGTCAGTACAATTGATAAAACTTACTAAATTCAAAACAAACCTGGAACTACAAGTTTATATTTAAAAGTATAATAATTAATTAATTAATTCATTACATTACATATTGTATAAAACGGGGTATTATTTACTACATATATATTCTTTAAAATCTTAATTTTAAATAGCAAAAGACAAAAATTGTATTCGTCTGTTCATTCTTGAGATAACGGGATAAAAGTGTAAATATAGGCCCCATAAAGACTGATTCTGCTTTTGTCTGAAAGTATCACTTGTTTCTAGAACTCCGGAGGTTTATTTATGTATTTCTTTTAAATTCCTATTTCTTTAAAATTGTCCTCTACGCGCTGGACTGATGAATGCGTTCTTCCAATAGTTTTACTAATTTTTCGGAAACATTTTCCATCTTTCCATAGTTTAATAATTTTTTTTTCATATACACTGATTTCTTTTCTCCTTGCTTCCATACTTTAAAATAGTTATTACTTAAAAATTAATTGATCACTGAGCTCGCTTAATGTTGAATTCAAATGCTTAAGAATACCAAATGAGCAAAAATAAGAACAAACTGCTTAAAAATTAGCGATATTATCTAAACAAACAAACTGTACGCAGACTTTTTGTTATCTCAAGAATGAACGAACAAATACAATTTTTGTCTTTTGCTATTTAAACTTTAGATTTCAAAGAATAAGTATATATAAAAATTTTAATTGAAAATATTTATTTATGTTGTCTTTCTTTGTCACATATCAAAATTTGTGAGGTGTACGCAGACTGTATTGGCTATGTTTATATATATAGCAGGGGAAAATCAAACAACCTACAAAACTAAATATACAAGTCACTACTCATTTATGTTATTATAATTATTAAATCGTATTTAGGTATAAAACTAATTCGTAAAACATAAATTTAGGCATAATCTAATTACAGATAAAATTATATTATTTGCATACAAATTTTACACACATACATTGCTTACAATTTTGCATAACTTTATTCAATGCACAAAACCAACAAAAAACCAAAACAAAAAGAAGAAATCCATACACATTCGCTTATACAAAACACAAGCAACTAACGCATAAGCAAGCACGTTGCAAACGCATAATAGTCAAAAATGTAAAATTGACTATTAGCAAGCAATCAAAATGAAACCAGCAGGCCGATTCCACTAATCACTATCGCTAAAACTTCAATCTCTTCGCTAAAATTCTTAAATAAGCGATTCGCTTATTTTAGGAGAATTAGCGATTGTGCGATTCTGCTAACACAATCTCTTCGCTAAATTTATCCGGCGATGCGGATAATGCTGAAATGCACTGAAATGTCAAAATAAATACAAAAATTGTCAGCTGTTGGACTTATAATTTAAATTTGAATTTAAATTTAAAAACACATACTTCAACAAAAAATATTTAGCAATTGCGAAATTTAAATTAATATTCAATTAATATAACATTAGTGTGCGAATTAATTAAATAATGGACTTTTTGATAAGAAAGAGATTTTTTTTTTCTGGTGATGTGAGAGATTCACGGAGTCATTTACGTTGGAAAAGAAAATGTTTGCGGAATTCTACAGACCCCTTCGCTATATCTGATGCGCGTTTTATTGAAATATTTCGTCTTTCGAAATATTTATGTAAGCTTTTCATGGCAGAAATA